ATATATGGTAATATGTAAAATCATTCTTGATATCTATCTATTTTCAAATTAGTAGCCTAAATAGAAAAAATTAGTTACATCAGAATTTCTTTTGGATATTGAATCATCATACATTATTTTCAATAGGATACTAATTTACAACAAAAACTTTGTTTCTTGGTTTGGTTTTTATATCTTACGAATTACCACAAGAAGCTGTAGAGTTTTAATATGATGGAGATGTTGATGGTAATGGTGATGTTGTTGGTGGTATGATGGTGGTAATGGTAATGACAATAACAATGGTGATAATAGTAATATAATAATGATATTTATTCAAATAATAATGGTAATAATAATATAATTTAAAACAAGTACAAGCGAACTCATAAATGACAACTGCATTTAGAAAACAAATTAAATAACACAATCTACCAGAACCATTCTCAAATACTAAAATCAAACAAATAATGTCACAAACTATTATCAAATAGGCCTATACAATATTTAACACTGACCATCGAATTTTCTAGTTTCTAGTATCCAGTTTTCTTCTTTTTCATCAATTGTATATGTCTTCGTGGTTACAATCCCATCAGTTTCTTCTTCTTGTGAATTAAATCTAAGAGTTAATAGTTGAAAGTCATTAAACAATACTAAAATACAATGATTCAAACACCTAAAAACATTTTCCTTCTATTTACAAACCTCTGTCCTGTCAATCTCTTTATTAGACTTGTCTTGCCGGCTCTGGCTTGTCCCACCACTGTCACAGAACACTTATTAAAAAGTTCACCGCCTACTTCTAAAGCTTTCACGTACATAAGGACTGTATCTATGCCTTTCAACAAAATCTGGTGAGGTATTTCTCCTATAAAATGTAAAATATTTACAATGAGGGCATTTCATAGTAACAAAAATAGGCTTCAAACGGGGAAGTGAGTCTAATGTTCGACTTCATTTTTCTTTATGGCCCATCCCATCGTTCCTCCACCGGATTTACTTTTACAGGGTCATCTGACAGATGACAACAAAATGTCTACTGTTCTTCCGGGGCAGTACACTGTAAAAACAGTATGGAGGATTTAAACGCAAAATTCCACGAAATGTTGTCTCGTCTTTGGTGACACATTTAAAAGCCAAACATGTTTAGGCCCGGCCTAATGTGTTTAGGTTTCTGACATGTTTAGCATCAGATGTGCTTAGGTATTTTATATCATAATGTCAAATACCTCAGAAAATTTAATTCAATTCTAAACACGTCAAGATCCTAAGCATAAAGATATATTGCGTTTAATTCCTCCACGCTGTTTTAACAGTGTAGACAAATAAATACTGTTATTTCAATTATCCAATTCTGCTACTGCCATTTGATACAATTACACAGACAATCGCATGTCATGCTGTGTCTGCATAAAAGTTCAAAATTGAATTGAAACTACTTGATAAAAAAATAATGTTTCTGACCTCTTAATAAATATTCAATCATTGGTATTTCTTCTTTTTTGTTCTCATATTCACATTTACTTTTTTGATACAGTTCAGCTGCAGTATCACCAAACTGTAAAAAAAACCCCAATTAATTAAGAAAATAAGTAGGATAAAACAACAATATATATCAAATACGAAATATCCGAATACACAAATCTCTTTGTCAGGCTACATGGTGTTAAACTTTTTTTTTATTATTAAGGCCTATCAGTTGTTACAAGAAATGACTATTAAAGACATGACTAAAAGAATTCTATAGTGTGCTGTTTAATACTGTTTTTTTTTTGTAAACCTACAGTAAATTATACTTTTCAAATAATGTACACTTTTCGAATCAAACTTTTATTACATTTTCCATGGAAAAGGAGGATAAAACTAGTACTAATTTGGGTCTACGTTTACACAGATATATCTAATATATAGATAGATATATCTATCTACCTTAAACTTACAGTATTTCAAAAAATACCATAGGCCTACATTCAGGTTTTTCTCTAGGCATGCCCTTATGACCTACAGTTACAAGTACAGTTTGTAAAACTTTATTTGTTCGGAATTGATATTGAGTATATTATATTTTATTATTGTATAACTTCACCTTGTCCCTAATGGTAACATCTGCTCCATTTGACAATAGGGCATGGATGATTTTGAAATGTTGCTGGACTGAGAGGTTGGACACTGCGCACCAATGAAGAGCAGTTTGGTCAAACTAAATAACAAAACACAATAAATGTATTATTACGGATATTTTCATTGTCATCTAGTACAATCATTTAAACATAGCATAACAAATAATATTTACGACAAAGTTCTACGATTTTTTTCAGTGTACTCGCGCTACGAAGTAAACTTTCGGTAATTGTTATTATTATTATTATTATTATTATTATTATTATTATTATTATTATTATTATTATTATTATTATTATGTATGGTGGAAGTGAGACTGCTTGTTTAACTGCAGCTAAAGGGCACACTTTAAAGACTTAATCACTTAGTAATAATTATGCTAATCTGAATGCCCCGAAATGCAAAGTACTAATTTAGCCCATCATGATTAAATTCTATGAATAATGATGACGAAGAAGAGATGTAATTGTTGTAGATAGGAACACATTGGTAGTGATACCTTGGTTTGTGTGTTGATTCGTGTCTTCGATTTTTCAAGGACGCGACTGACGCATGTTGAGAATCCACGCCGAGACAGTTGATGAAGAAGACTATGACGAACCTAAGATAAACAACGATTGGAATATTGAAAGCCATATACAAACAACCTAATAATAATTTATATATCAAGTATACACAAACCAACAGTGTCAAAGCATTTATTAAGGATATGCTTGTGCTTAATTTATGCCTGAGTAAGAGGCATAATATTAATATAGACTTTTATAGCGAAAAATCTTAGATCTTCGACGCGATAATAACTTTTCAAAAAATCAATAGGTCTCTCTCGCCATATGAACATGAGTGGCGTAGCTACGGGCAGTGCAGCCAGTGCAAAGCAATGGGGCTCAGGACTATTAGGGGCCCATTCATAAATAGACCTAAAAATTATAAAGTAATTTCCAACTTAAGATTTTTAAAACGGCCAGTGGGCACCTCAGTAATATTTAGATTTTAGAGGAGTAATTATTGATTAAAATGTGTTAATTCCAAATGTGGTGTATTTAGGGGGGGGGGCACCTACAATGGGTTTTTTTTTTCAAAATTAGGCTTATAAGAGAAATGGGAAAGAAGGAAATTATATCAAAATATGAGAGTGCCATTTCCGGCCATCAGCAGTGCTATAATCATAAATTTTCTTACCTCAGTCCCAACCTGTGTGGGAATGAGGTGGTCTTCACCCTGTGAAAAATCCCTGCTTGGCCACTCTATTTCGAATTCCCTGATCTGCCACTGCAATTGTTAAATTTTGTGTGCCACTAATTTTCTTGATTAGTTTAGAAAAACTGCTGAAACCGAATATTCCCTAAAATAGTTACGATTCCGATTATCTTATTCATAGCCAGACCTTAAGAAAAGGGGTAAAAGAAGCACTTCTTACGATGAACTTTTTGAGAACTTTGGGGCTCTGTTTCGCGTCCTTTTTAGCCCACAGCCCAAATTAAATGTCAAGAGCATTCAGACGCAACCAATCGGACCCGAAGGCCTAAACTATCACCTGAATTTCGTAGTTAAATGATTGAATATTATTTTTTTATAAAGTCAATAAATCCCGTCCATCGTTTTATACACGAGGAATAGCGGAAATCCGAACCATTCCAACTTGATTCTTTGTCAACCAATTAAAATATATCACTTCATTCATTAAAATTTTCAAATCTCCCAAAAAATAAATTTAAATGCTATAAAAATGAAATTTATATAACTTCTAGGGCCCTTTCGCACATAGCTACACCGCTGCTTAACATATAATCGGTATCTTTATTCAGAAAAACTCCTTCATAAAAAATACATTAGTAGCCAAGAGCTAACTTGGTGTATTTTGTACAAAAGGAAAACAAGAACGAGAAACGGCAAAAACATCACATTAAAACAATATAAAAGCAAACCCAAACCATCGGTATAAGTTCACTACGTTAAAATTGCACAATTTGAATTTTTCAATTAATTTCATTAGATAAGTGATGGGGCTATTTTAAAGGCAATACAAAAAATGAACCCAAACAGTCAAAATTTCACAAAGTTAAATACAATTGCAAAATTAAATTTATTCTACAATTAATTTCATTAAATAAGGGGTGGGGCTATTTTTAAAACGTTCAGTTCTCAGGAAAGGCATTTCATAATTTCTATGTTTACGAAGTTTCATTGATGAAAAAGTTTTAGATTTTGGGAACCAGTGACTAGATCTTTTATCGTTGCTAATTTTTTAGCAAACTTTTTGCATAATAAAATCCTACGTTGTGCGAGTGATTCCAGCCCAAGTTTTTCGAGAGCATCCTGATAGTCAACATAATTGTTTACAAGAATGGACCGACATACACGTTTTTGCACCCTTTCCAAAGAAGTCTCCTGGTAAACTGTAAGTCCCCCAGACCACAGAGGAGCTGCATATTCTAGGATGGGCCGTATGTATCCCACATAACCTGCATTAACTGGCTTGGCAAATTCTGTGCAGGATGTTCAGTGTCAAATATCTATAAATCATTCAACAAAATATGTTTGTTTCTGTCTTTGTAGAAGTTCAAGACTATACGTTGTTTTCATAAAAATTAGCAATTCAATTTATATTCATTGACTTTTTATCATTTGTGGTGGTATCTTTAAATGAAACTTTAACTGTTTTGTAAATGAAAAATACAACGGCGACGGTTATGAATTGTAACAGGCACAATGAGTTAGATAGTATGATCATGGAGGTATAAAAAATGATGTCCTAAATAGTGTTCATGCGATGTTTGATGACGTTCTAATAAAGGCATTACGGGTTATTAGATCTACTCACCCACGGCCGCGGGTATAAAATATCGAGTGTGGCTGCTTTAGCTTGCTCCACTAACAGTACACACACATCCTCTGGTGTGTCGTCAAATTTCGACGCAGCATAATGTAATGGCGTGAAGCCGTCCTAAAAACCCAAATATGATACTAAAAGTTAAAGATAAATTATGCCATAAGGAATGATGCTATCTCTATGTTTATTTGAGGATGACAAAAACTTATATAGGGACTAAATTTCAATTTTGTGAGCATATAAAGAAATAAAATTAGAAAAAACCCCGCAAAATGGTAATGGTTTGGCAAAAGTCTGTAGGCCTACTGTACATAAGAAAGTAACCTAGTTCAATACCTTTCCTTCAATCTTTTGAATAATGGAGGCCTTTTAATGTCTTTTTCTCTAATGTGGATTACACATTCCCATGTGAGGCTTCCGTCAATAATGATTTAAGAGTTCAGACTTGATCATAGATTTCAGTCTAACAAAGCTTACCTCATCTATTTCATTGACTAGCTGTGGTTTCCCTCTCATAAGTCGCTTGACTTTAGACCAATTTTTGGAGTAGATAGCCTGATGCAGTTCATTGCTGTATCAAAGATATAGATAAAATAGTAAATATAGATAATTAGTATGTGTTTGTGTCTCGATGTATGTGTATTTATATACAGGATACATTTTATAAAGCTGTAATACATATAAATAACAACCTAATTTGAATATAGGGCCTATATATACATATATATATAT